CAATATTAAAATCAATGCTGACTCTAAATTTACATGGAAACTAACTAATACCAGGGACATTAAATCAAGCTGACCCGCCTTAAAGGAAATCAAGATAGTGATGAAATCATTAAAAATTACATCACTACTGTTTGGGTAAACATCCTAGACTCAATATAGAAATAATTATGCTTTCTTAAACACAGTAAACCCAGCAGATAAAGCTAGTTTTGCTTAAAAAAATACATTTTTAAGATTTTTATTCTCACCCCAATTACACAATTCATTATAAACAATTCATTATAACAATCTACTGATGGCAAAAAAAAAAAAATTCTTCTCCAGAAACATAAATGTCTCCAGACGATAAAAGAAAATTCAAAGATGCTTGGTGAAGGGTTAAAAATTAATAGTTTAATAATTACCATCAGTAAAAATTCAATATGCCACATAAAATACAATGAAAATCCACTTACAAATAAAAGCCAAAAAAGATAAGATCTAATATTATCAACTTTATAAATTAAAAAACAATGATCTAATAACAAAATGTACTACTTAAGGCATATTAATATGCCAAGCTGTCAGTTTTAAAGATTTATTTTAGGAGACAATCAAATCATAGAATTGAAAATCATATAAGTAGCAATTTAATAAAACCTACTTGTTTTATAATAATACAGACTGGTAAAGAGAAAACTCAATTTAAAATGCCTCCTTTTTAAAAATGACCATTTCAGTTTTACAAACATGTAAATCTTAGAATGAATACAGAATTCAGTTTATAATGAAGATAAGTGGCTAGCACTGTTCTTCTGAAAAAAAATCAAAATCTTATCAAAATATTCAAATATCTTATCAAGTACACATTACATTTCAAATATTTTTTAAAAACACTGTATAACACATGGAATGTCTGTGTCCTTCCTGTGCATCACATGTTGCAATCCTAATCCTGAAGGTGATGTTATGGTGTGGGGCCTTTGGGGACTCACTAGGTCACGACGGTTGAGCCATCATGATGGCACTGATGCCAACATGACGGAGGCCCAGAGAACTCATTCCTTGCAATCCATAATCCCTGAAACAGACCTTTGATTTGCCAGCTGACTTTCCCAGTGCCTTCATCTCAGACTTACCAACCTCCAGAACTGTGAAAATTACAGTTCTGTTATTGATAAGCTGCTTTTGACATGTTGCTACAGCATCCCAACTAAGACACACTGATACCGAGTAATTAAGCCATTTTAGACAAAAAGTATTGAAGTTACTTTTGAGTCAACAGTGAAACACATAAAGAAAGCCAAAGGCAGCATGTGATAAAGAACAGAACAAACTGGAGGGAGATGACAGTGGCTGCTCCAAGTTCAGTTACAGCACTATTATAGTTTTTCAAGCAAGAAATGATGAATGACAGCTAGGCTACAATTGTGGTATGATACTGACAAAAGGGAAAAGGGCCTAACTTAAGATTTACTCAGGAGATAAAACAAGACTCAAAGATAGAGAAAGGAAAGGATGGTTGTCAAAAATCACCTAGATTTTTACTTATGTTATCACAGCAGAAAAATGCTAGAGAAGAACCAGTATGTAGGCTTGTTTCATCATTTCTTGCTTTGAGTCCAGCCTTAGATGGTAAAATGATATAAACTGGTATCAACTGGTATCAAAGTAAACAATCAGAAAAAAATAATCTGGAGCTCATCAGAAAGTACAAATCTGAGCCCTACACTGAGAGGTAAAAGTAAAGCCACAAGTACAAATGAGATCCTTCTGGGAGTGTATAGAAAACAGAAGACCAATGGCGCAAGACATGCAGCACACTCAACACTTCACAGCTACTAAAGAAGGAAGAGCTTGTCTGAAGTTAAGAATAACAGGCCAAACAGTAGGAGAGAACTTAAAGTGTGAAGTGTTGAAGACAGAGAGATGAAGAAGGGAGGAAAAGACGGGACAAAAACAGACTAACAGTGGATGATCAAGTTCTAAAAAACCTGAGAAATTATCCTGATTTTGCGATAAAAGATCACTAGTCACCTTTTTATAAAAAAGTGGCTGATTCAAGTATCATCCACTTAGCAGGCAAACCTTTTTTTAAACACATCAGGGGTCTCCAAAAAGTTCATGGTAAATGTATATTATAAAAACATACATATGGTTCTCAAACTTTTACAAACCAAAATAAATAAAATGATACTCTAATCCCAGTTTTCCACAATTTTTAAAATACCCTCACATTCATGCCCAGAGATATAAAGTATAAAAGTAATAAGCGCATGCTGGTGTCTTGTTAGCAGAACACTTACCTAGCAATGTATACCTCCATGGGGCTTCATGCGGACACCCATAGAAACTCTGAACTTTACGGATTAATGTTTTGAAATCAGTTGACTAGATAATCCAGGAGAAACCTCTGCTAGCAATTCTGTAATGTAATTTAATCTGCCTTGCATGAATCAGGGCTTTCAAGATGACTAATAACCTTACTGTGTTACAGTCAAAACTCAAGATACTGGCAAATTCCTTTATAAACATAAAGAAAATGTCCTAAACTTACTGACTTGATTAAACTATGGATGAACTTTGCTTTCCCTTACAAAAGTAGCAAGTAATTCTATGTGCAATTCTGGATATTTTATGTCTCTAAAAATAGACAATTAAATAAAAAACTAAACAAGTTTTCTTCTAAGCTTGTTTTAGGGGCTGTTCTCAAAAGAATTATTCTCTTAACATGGCAATTATAGCCTTTATCACCATCCTTCACTACTTTGCCAGGATTCAAAATATTTTCTTCTTAGCAGTACTAACATCTTTTATCTTGTATTCAATGGCAATTCATTCATTATAATTAACATTAACAGAGCAGAACTAGGTTCTTGCTAAGTTTTAAGAAACTAGCACCACACCATGGAGTTTTTTTCACAAGTACATACACCAAGAATCCTCTTCATCATTTACCATCTTTTGCCTTCAGAAAAGCTCTACGGTCACAAAGGAAGGCTTTCAGGTTAGTCAAGTTTGGTCTGCCCTTCATTCAAAACAGCATTTCCTTGATTGACTTGAATTGCTGGCTAAAAGATACAACACTATGTTGTGACATGTTGAAGATTTTCTAACAAACATGGGAGAATAAGCATTTATATCAACCTCCACTTAGATTTAAAACCTCAATAAAATAAGGATTACAGAAAACAGCAACAGCAACAGAAAAAGGAAAATAGTATCAGGAAAACACTGATACATTTTTGAAGCACTGAACAAAGAAAACTGAACATCAAGAATTTTTCAATGGCTAATGATTCAACTCTCATCAGAACAGGTCAGCTAATACAGGTACCAGATAGCACAGAAGGTTGCCTACTCCATGAAAACATCGAGGAACAGCAAGTCGAATCCAGAAGGTTCAAGAAGAGAGATATGAAACCTGAAGAGGCAAGTCAACATTTACCTAATGAAGAACGGGTCCTGGCTTACTTCTGTACTCCACCAATACCAACAAGCAGGCAAATCTAAGAAACCCAAGCACTGATCTGATTAATGGTCCTAAACATCTCATTCAGACTTAAATTTGCCTTTAATAAGCCAAACAAAGGAAGATAATTTACAAATCTTAGTAGGGCAGAGTCAAAAGTTATACTGCTTATTAGGATCTGTAAATATTAGAATATTAGCTGAAACACCCTGTCAAGTGATAACTGCAATACCTGAAAGCTGGACCCAAAGTTATGATCTGGGGGGAAGGGCGTGAGGGCCTAAACACAATCACAAGGATTTTTACAAGAGGGAGGGAAAAGGAGATTCCACACTGAAGATAACAACATGAGTTCCACTGTTTAATGCTTAATCTGCAGACACTTCCTAGTGGTGCCTCCCCAACAGGAATACTTTATAAAACACTGCCCCCTATACAGAGCCAGCTCCTCAGTGGGAACAACTGTGTTCTTCATGGGAAATTAGCCAATGTTTGCATAGGTCTTTGGAGGAGAGTCACTGGCATCTAGTGATTAGAGGTGAAGGATGCTGCCAAACATCCTGCACACACAGGACCATTCCTGTAGCCAATGATTATCAGGCCCAATTTACCAACAGAGAGGGCAAGAAACTGCTGTGGAGTAAACACAACTTACTCCAAATACATGACCTGCCCATTACGTTGGTCAAAGTTCCTCAGTGCATTCCAGTAATTCAACAGAGAGGGCCTGTGTTGTGGCACAGCACATAAAGCCACTGCCTGCAATGTCTGCATCCCAGACGAGTGCCAGTTAAGAGTCCCAGCTGCTCCAGCTCCGATCCAGCTCCCTGCTAATGCATCTATGAACACAACAGAAGATGGCTACCTACTGGGAGACCCACATGGAGTTCAAGGCCAAGCTGGTATGGACACTTTGGCAATGAATCAGCAAATAAAAGGGGGGGGGTGTGCGTGTAGGGGAGTGTGCACACGTGTATGTGTATGTATGTGTGTAACTCAGTCTTTAAAAAGTAAAAAGAAATTTGTCACAGAATAAATATTCAAAAATCCTATTTTTTCTTCAAGTATTGACAACCCTTTTAATTACAGCAAAATGAAGTTGGAAAGATAATTAGTATTTAAAAGTATACTAGGTTAAAACCCTATGGACCTATACCATAAAATTCAAAATATAAATAAGTAAATAAATAAATAAAATAGAAGTATACTGGGCTATAAAAGGATATGTGCATTTAATGATACTAGTAGATACCTAATAAAAACATAAGAAAAAATTGAAAGAAAAAATTATACTGAAATATTGAAACTTTCTTCAAAAGCAAAGAGCAAGAATGTTATTTCTTGAGTGAAAAGCAAAGAGGCATTCATCCTAGTGTCATAGATTTGCATATAAATGAAACTTATACAGTAAACAATTTGTTTTTAAGCAGTGATATAAGTAATAGTCTGGAGTACATATGCCTAACAAAGACGTACTTTACATACACACACACATGCATGCATTTATGTGAACACGTGCCCATGTGCATGCACACTCAAGGAGACTTACCCCGATGGGCTGAAATATAAGTCCATCCATTTCATGACTGACTTCTTTGGCAAAATTTCCTTCAAGCAGCTGTAAATAAAAAAGCATGAACTTGTGATAAATACAGTACTCCCCACATAAAAAACCTAATACATAAGATATAAGAACTGAAATATGAAAAGAGGTGGACTCAGGGGAACCTATGATGATATATAGCAACATGAAGACAAAATACATGAAGATTTCTACTGCATGCTATATACTGAACAATAGTCCAAGCTTCAAGAAGTAAAATAATGAGTACAATTCTGACATCACCTTCAATGCAAATGCTTACTGATCACTTCCACCGGCACATTATACAGTGTAAATACTTAGATGAGTTCTCTAAATGGCAAAGAGTACTTTTTAAAAGTATTTTTAAAATCATAATAGTTTTTAAAACTTCCGGTTAACACATAGTACATATCTTTATGGGTACCACGCAGTATTTTAACATATGTTTCTAGCACAAATTAATGAATTCAGGCGACTAGTCCTTCCACTTCCTTATTTCTTTGCTTTGGAGCCTCTCTTTCAGCTCTAACGTATTTATTGTATTTAGTTTAAATATATTATTGTGAACTATAGTAACCCTGCTGTGTTGTGGAAAACCAGGATTTACTCTATTTGATTGGGATTGGAGACCCATTACTGACTTCCCTCAAGTCCCCAGTTAGTGAGTGCATTAGGGACAGAGCTTGGTAACTGGATAAGGTTGTTCGGGTGGAGCCCCTCTGATCAAATCACTGTTGCCTTAAAGTCTAAATCAGGGCACATGGGGAGCACATTCCTTGTCTTTCTGCTTTGTGGCTTGCTCTACGATGGTCCATCCACATGCTTTCTGCTATCATAAAATACCAAAACAATGGGCCACACAATCATGGGACTGTAAACCTGCAAAATCATGATCCAAAATAAACTTACTTCCTTCTACAGCAGCTCCTTCCAATCTACCATCTATTGTACGAAATGGTTCTAGTCATGAAAAGGTAACTAAAGCACATCCCCTTCCTAAGCTCTAGTAACTATTATTTAAGTTCAGACTGATATATCTTTCTGGTTTAATTTACTTAACATAATGATCTCCAGTCCTATTCACCTTGCTGCCAACTGTTACGAATTTGTTTTTTATAGCAAAATAATATTTAACTGTGTATGTTTCAATCATCAATGGCCATCTAGGTTGATCCTATGTATTGATGTAATGCACAAGATAACAGAGGGCAAACGTCTCGTTCATATGCTTATATTAACTCCTCTGAATATACACCAAAGTGGAACAGGTAGAATAAAGGGTAGATTTGCTTTTAGGTGTCTGTAGTTTCTGTACTTTATAATGGCTGCATTCCATCCAACAGTGTTTGCGGGTTCCCTTTTCTCCACATGCTTGCTAGAATTCCTGTTTCTCATCTTTCTGAAAATAATCATTCTATCTTTAATAAGATGACACCTCCTTGTGGTTTTATTTTGCATTTCAATGATGGAAAGTGATATTGATTATCTTAAAAAAAATCTGTTAACTATCAGTATTTCTTTTTGGAGAAATATCTATTCAGAACCTCCGCTCATTTCTTAACAGGATTGTGGAAAACACACTTTTTAAAAAGATTAATTGGGGCCCGGGGCGATGGCGCAGTGGCTAAGGTCCTCGCCTTGCATGCCCGGGATCCCATATGGGCACCGGTTCTAATCCCGGCAGCCCCGCTTCCCTTCCAGCTCCCTGCCTGTGGCCCAAGAAAGCAGTCGAGGACGGCCCAAAGCTTTGGGACCCTGCACCCACGTGGGAGACCCGGAAGAGGCTCCTGGCTTTGGATCGGCATAGCACCGGCCGTTGCGCTCACTTGGGGAGTAAATCATCGGACGGAAGATCTTCCTCTCTGTCTCTCCTCTCTGTATATCCGCCTTTCCAATAAAAATAAAATAAATCTTTAGGGCCTGGCGCGGTGGCGCAAGTGGTTAAGGTCCTCGCCTTACACGCCCAGGATCCCATATGAGTGCTGATTCTAATCCCTGCAGCTCCACTTCCCTTCCAGCTCCCTGCCTGTGGCCTGGGAAAGCAGTCAAGGACGGCCCAAAGCTTTGGGACCCTGCACCTGCGTGGGAGACCCGGAAGAGGCTCCTGGCTTTGGATTGGCATAGCATCGGCCGTTGCGCTCACTTGGGGAGTAAATCATCAGACGGAAGATCTTCCTCTCTGTCTCTCCTCTCTGTATATCTGCCTTTCCAATAAAAAATAATAAAAATAAATTTAAAAAATAAATCTTTAAAAAAAAGATTAATTGGAAAGAGACAAAGAGAAAGAGAGAATTTTCTATCTGCTTGTGGAATCCCCACTTGGTTGCCATGGTCAGCTGGGTTGGGCTGAAATCAGGAGCCAGGAGCTTTATCCAGGTCACTCACATGGGAAAGAAGAAACAAAACTGCCTTTTCCATAAATGACCTACTATTTATGTAGAATATGAAAGAGCAAGCAAACATCTCCTGAAACTAGTAACATTACAGGATATCTACATAATCCACAAAAATCAATCAAATCATTATATACTAGTAATGAGCAACTTAAAATCCAAAACACAATACCATTTATATCAGCATCCAAAAAATAAAAAAGATAAAAAATAAAGGCAATTATAGAAAACTAATAAGAAAATCTGTTAGAAAAACTATCACCGTGCTGAAAAAATCAAAAAGTAATAAAATGGGGCATAGCACAATGGCTCAGTTAGCTAATCTTCCCTTTGCAAGTACCAGGATCCCATATTAGTGCCAGTTTGAGTCCCAGATGCTCCACTTCCCATCTAGCTCCCTGCTTACCACATGAGAAAGCAATGAACAATGGGCCAAAGCCCTGGGACCTTCTACCCTCATAAGAGACCTGAAAAAAGCTCCTGGCTCCTGGTTTCAGATAGGTCCAACTCCCACCATTGCAGCCACTTGGGGAGTGAACCAGCAAATGAAAGATCTTTCTGTCTTTCTCCTTCTCTGTATAAATCTCCATTCCCAGTAATAAATAAATAAACCTTTTAGAAAGTAATAAAATAAAGAGATATTCCAAAATGTAAGTAGACATTTTGACCAGCAGAACAGAATCGAACTAAGAAATAGTTCCAAATATACTCAAGTAACCTTTGACAAAGGAGCAAAGGCAACAAGATGGGTAACAGTCAGTCGTTTCAACAGTGGTACTAGAATTATTGGAAAGCTATACATCAGGGAAAAAAGGTATAATGCTGCTAATTTATGACTCACATAAATTTACATTGTATTATGTATCAGTAAGAACGTTTATCTAAAAATACTACATAAAGAATATACAAACTAAAGTTTGGAAAATATATGCTTTATAGTCTCAAATTTCTGAAAGTCACACTAAAATATACAGTGAGTCAAGTATGTTAACAATCAGAAAAATGAGATACAGAACATTTGCATTATCTTCAATAATACAAAGGGAAGAAAAAAGGGAAATGGAAAATAGACAAAAAATACATTGAAGAAAGATGTAAAATACATGTTGGAATTTTAAAATCAAAAAACATACACTAGGAAAAGCTACATAGTTATTAAGAGAAAAAATGGGGCTGGTTTTATGGTCACTTAAGGAATAAACCAGCAGGGGAAGATTTCTTTATTTTTCTCTCCCTCTTTCTCTTTCCCTCTCCTTCTTTCCTCCTTTTCTCCTGTTCTTTTAAATAGACAATAGTTACTAAGAAAAATTTGAAGAGAAGTACTACAAAATAACATTTCTGAGTAAAGCAGGCCTAAGCAAAACTCAAACAGGAAGGGAAAAATCTATTTGTTAGATATTAAAATTGATCATAAAAGATAAAGTGACAATTGTTTGTCTATAATTTTTAATATATTTTTAAAGACAAAATTATAGCAAAAAGAAATTTATAGGAAATTTTAGCATTAAACAAAAAAAGCAAGTGAGGAAAAATGAGTTAGATATAAAGCATAAAAGCAGATGAATTTAGAAATTTCAAAGGTCTGCGATTCGGTCAAAGTCAATGAAAATGGTTTCTGGCTAGGACTAAGCACCCTATGGCCAACAACTCTACCGAGAACGGAAAGGGTCGAAGCTGGGTACGGTAAGGGTCAAAGGTGGGGTCAGAAGGAAAAGTCCGGAGATGAACTGATCCCAAGAGGCCAGTTTTTCTCTGGGCATATTTTCTAATTCTAAACCATGGAAAGATTTAAGTAATCCTGATTTTTTCCCTGAGCAAAGGCCCACTGTTAATGGACAAACAAGTTGAGATTTTGATAGACTCCACAGAAACACGCAAAATTAGGAAGAGATTCAAACACTGGTGGGGATTTTCAATCTGCTCATTTATGTTGTCCTAAGGAAACAATGCTGAAAAAAAAAATCAACTTCAGACTTATAAAATTCCCTAAGAACTTTAAAGAAGTAGCCACAAAACAAAGGGCAATTCAATACAGAGCATAAAGTATCTTGAGTGGCAGTACCAGCTGGCAAGCAAAGAATGGATGCTGGGGTCCGTGTGGTGGGTGTGGAAGACAGGAAGGTGTGAAGAGAACTGTTCCATTGCAGGCAGGGCTGCAAAGAATTTCCCACTGTATGGCAGGGCCCAGCTGATGTCTCTACAACCACCTGAATGCAGCTTCACCTCCCTTTGCGTGGACACCGGACAACCCCGCTGAGATTTCTATAATTTATTTAGGCATTGTCTGCCTCTGGGGAGTTAATGTTTACTACCAATGTGAGCTTGGAAGTTGATGTTGCTGATACAGTTTTAGTAAAAGGGCCTTTCATTACTGCTGTCTCCCATTGACCACATGCTAATCAAGGGTGTTCCATCCCCAGGTGTAGTAGGAATCTATTCTTTCCCTCTTTCTTTGATCTTAAGGTCCTTCCTTCTGTAATGCACTTCCTCCCTTAACTGATTCAAGACTAAATTGTAGAATGAGGATTGTAGTAGAAATGTGTTACTGATGGATATGCACCATCTACTGAGAACTTCCTAACCACAGCGCCAGGATGGATAACATCCTGCTTTAAGGTGAAACAAATGGCAGAATCATCC